TTAAAAATAATAACATAAATAATAAAAGATAGATAATAGATAGATAGATAGATAGATAGATAGATAGATAATAAAATAAAAAGATAGATAGATAGACAGCAAGTAAAAAAAATGGTTAAAAAAAAAAATTATGCCTGGCAGTAAAAAAAAAAATGAATCCCAATCACGGCACCACCTGCCTGGAGTTTGCATGTTTTTCCTGTTGCCTGCGTAAATAAAAAATAAAAGGTAAAAATTAACTAACACTCCAAAAAACGCTGGTAGGTTAAAAACAATCCTGTCTACATTGGCCCTAATATGTGTATGTAATGAAAAAAAGTTAGGGACCTTAAATTTACCCTTTTTTTTAGTTTTTAATCTCTCTGGAAACTAAACATTAATATGCTCAAAAAAAAATTTAAAGCTCTGGAAGAATAAGGTGAGCATTGCAAAAAAAAAAAAAAAACAAAACCAAACCAGAAGTTGTAAAAAAAAATGAAAAAAAAAAAAGTATAAAATAAAAAAAAAAAATGCCAATTTTAAAACAACAAAATATTGCTTAAAAAAAAATCGGTGTTAAAAAAAAAAAAAAAAATGTAAATAAAAATATAAAAACACACAAAATAAAAAAATACATAAATGGTGCAAAAAATAATATCAATATAAAGTGCAAATGAATATAATAAATCAAATAAAAAAATACAGGTCCCAATACAGGGAACTAGAAAAAAAAAAAAAAATCCTTAAAAAATGCGAAAATAAAATAAAAAATGGGTCATAAAAACAAAAAAATAAAAAAAAAAAAAATAAAACTTTAAAAAAAAAAAAATTTCAAATTAAAAAAACGGTATAAGTTTGAAAAAATTCAACTATAATTAAAAAAAATTTGTGTCTCTCCCTGTGCGTATAGTGTATACAAAAAAAAAAATTTGAGCACTTGTCACTTTATATTGATCCCATTTGTAGGGATTCTTTTTGTTCACACTAAAAATGTAAAACCGCATAAAAAAAAAAATTTGGGTTTTGGATTTTTTCACAGTATTTGGGGTCTGTTTTTATGACCCAAAAAAATTATAACATCGCACTTTAAGGATTTTTTGCCCTTTTCTAGTTCCCTGTATTGGGACCTGTAAAATAAATTTGAAAAATTATATTCAGTGCACTTTATATTGAATGTAGCGCTTGCACCATTTATATATATCATTTATGTTTATTCCTTTAGAGGTATGAGGTTGGGGTGCAAAGCTTAAAAAGAAAAAAAAAATTCAAGCGCAGGAGGAATCACTACAAAAAATATAATATAAAATACATAAACATATACAAATAAAAACATATAACACATACATACAACACATATAAAAAATATAAAAAATAAAATATAAAATATAAAAAAACAAAAACATAATATATAAAAAATAAAAATATACACAAATATATACAAAAAAATAAATATATAATAAAAATAAATATATATTCCATTTTTAAAAAAAAAAACAATAAAAAAAAAAGAAAAAAATTACAGCACTAGAGATAAAAAAAAAAGCATTGCTTCCCCCCCCCCAGATCCCAAACAAAGTCCAAAAAAAAAAAAAATTTTTAATTATTAAAAATAATAAAAAAAAAATTGTTCAATAATTCCAAAAAAAATTTTTTTTAAAAAAAAAATCTCCTTAAAAAAAGAAACTTACTACAAAAAGATAAATATTGCTTCCCTCACCTCCAAAATGCCATTATTTTCCACTAAGTACCAAAAAAAAAAAAAAAAAAAAAAAGCTACAGCAATTTTGACGTACACAAAATAATGTTGCCATTTTTAATTAAAAAAAAATTGTTATTAAATAAAAAAAAAAAAATTAATTTTAAAAAAAAAATTTTTTTTTTTTATACTAAAATTTAAACTTCTGGCAAAAATAAGCCCAAATTACAGCACTGGAGATAAGGTGGGCATTGCAAAAAAAAAAAAAAAAAAAAAATAAATATTATATAAATATATAATAAAATAATATAAAATAAATAATATATATATATATATATAAATAAAAATAAATCAAACAAAAAAAATATAAAAATACAAACAAAAAAATACAAACAAATATATGTATTATTTATTTTATGTGCATATTAAATATGTGTGTGTGTGTATATAATATGTGTGTGTTTGTATGTAAATGTTATGTATGTATGTGTGTGTGTGTGTGTGTGTGTGTGTGTGTGTGTGTGTTATATATATGTGTGTATATAATATATATGTGTGTTTGTGTATATATATATATATATAATATATAATATATATAAAATATATAATATAAATAACAAATATATACATATATATATACAAATAAACATAATATATACATACATATATAACACATATAAAACAACACACACACACATAAAATAAATACATATATATAAACACACACATACATACACACACACTCACATATATATATAAATACATACACAATACATACAGTTGTGTCCAAAATTATTCAATCAAGCATAATAAGCACCAATTAGGCAGCTTTAAAATGACTGTGATACTCAGCTCCTTCTAGACATTTACTGGTGTGGTTACAAACATGGTGAAGGCAAGAGAATGGTCCAGGAAGACAAGAGAAGAGGTGATTTCTCTTCACAGGAAGGGCAATGGCTATAAGAAGATTGCAAAGATGTTAAACATACCAAGAGACACCTTAGGAAGCATCATTCGCAAATTCAAGGCAAAGGGCACTGTTGAAACGCTACCTGGTCGTGGCAGAAAGAAGATGCTGACTTCAACTGCTGTGCGCTACCTGAAGCGTAGAGTGGAGAGAAGTCCCCGTGTGACTGCTGAGGAACTGAGAAAAGATTTGTCAGATGTGGGTACAGAAGTTTCAGCCCAGACAATAAGACGCACACTGCGTAATGAAGGCCTCCGTGCCAGAACTCCCAGGCGTACCCCCTTTGCTGTCTCCAAAGAATAAGAAGAGTCGACTGCAGTATGCCAAAAGCCATGTGGACAAACCACAAAAGTTGTGGGATAGTGTTCTGTGGACTGATGAAACAAAATTAGAACTGTTTGGGCCCATGGATCAACGCTATGTTTGGAGGAGGAAGAACAAGGCCTATGATGAAAAGAACACCTTGCCTACTGTGAAGCATGGTGGAGGGTCAATCATGCTTTGGGGCTGTTTTGCTTCTGCAGGTACAGGGAAGCTTCAGCGTGTGCAAGGTACCATGAATTCTCTTCAGTACCAGGAGATATTGGATGGAAACGTGATGCAGTCCGTCACACACCTGAGGCTTGGGAGACGTTGGACCTTTCAACAGGACAATGATCCCAAGCATACCTCCAAGTCCACTAGAGCATGGTTGCAGAGGAAAGGCTGGAACATTTTGGAGTGGCCATCGCAGTCACCAGACTTAAATCCGATTGAGAACCTCTGGTGGGACTTAAAGAAAGCAGTTGCAGTGCGCAAGCCTAAGAATGTGACTGAACTGGAGGCCTTTGCCCATGAAGAATGGGCGAAGATACCCGTAGATCGCTGCAAGACACTTGTGTCAAGCTATGCTTCACGTTTAAAAGCTGTTATAACTGTAAAAGGATGCTGTACTAAGTACTAAGATTGAATGTCACTTGGGGGTTGAATAAAACTGATAATGCTGTGAGCACAGAAAAGACATTTGTGGTTATTTCATTATAACTGTTATGTTATATTTGTCTGACCTACAAGTGCCTCTTTAATGTAAATGTAAGCAAGATGACTGAATGATCAAAAGCAATGTCAAACTGGCCAAAACACTCAATTTCAGTGGGGGTTGAATAATTTTTGGACACAACTGTACATACATACAAACACACATATATATTATATACACACACACTTTTTTTCCTTTTGATTCCTCTGGCCCCCGCCGCCCCCACCACTAAGTCCACAAGAATCACAGTTTTTATGTTTTTCGACATGGCAAAAGGTTTTCTAGTTGAGTTCCTCCCCCTCCCCCCCCCCCCCCCCCTTAACACAGAAGGGCCGAGGACGGGAGCCAAAAAATTTAACAAGTCAGGGTGCCTTTGAAGATATTTAATTAAAATCTAATCCGGCGTTCTTAAAGGCTCCCATAAAATGGAGCTGTCATGGCGGAGATTTATGCCTTCCTATTTGCATATTACATACAATTCATCAATTACTCATGTTTGAAAGCGATGCCTTTTCCCATGGAGTGGAGCTGCCAGCCGTGCCAACGGGCGCCCCGAGACGCACACAAGTCTACCCGCCGGTACCTTGGAGAGAGGCACCTCCATATGTCGGCCCGTCTCCCGCGCGCTCGCACAGCCCGCAGCGCACTTGTAAGGAAGCGGCTCCCTAACCGGGGGGGGGGGGGGGGGTTTTAATGCTCAATCTGTCAGGTTACCGAGAAGATTTCTGCTTCTTCCAGCCAAACAGTCACCTCTCTCCGACACATAACAAGGAACCAGAGATATGGACGGGATCCAGGGACGGGGGGGGGGGGGGGGGGGGGGGGGGGGGGGGGGGCGAAATATGTAAACAAGGCTGTATGGGGGGGCCATCCCAGGCACTTCAAGGAGAAACTGAAGTGTGTTCTCAGAGCTGGAAGGGTTCTCTTTCAAGTTTACAGAAAGTCATTTTTGATTCGACTTTTTTCATTTCCTCGGTTGCATCTCATTTGCGGCTTTTAGGCCCAATCACACCCTGGCGTCCTGGTGCATTGCGTTACATTAACGCAGCTCATTCAATGCACCAAAAAGTCCAAAAAACAGTCCAAAAATAAAATAAATAAAAAGGGCATGCACTATTTTTGGCAATGCAGCTCTCCACAGCGCACACAGCGTGTTTGCATTGGGTCCAAACCCGCCTGAACTATCCAGACCGAAATCTGTCACTGTGGACAGCCAGTCGTAAGCGGCAGAGGCATTTCTCGCCCCGCAGTGACAGGAGCTGCTACACCTGTGCAAGACTGAAGGGGAGGAGCCAGTACACCTGTGCAAGACTGAAGGGGAGGAGCCAGTACACCTGTGCAAGACTGAGGGGAGGAGCCGCTACACCTGTGCAAGACTGGAGGGGAGGAGCCGCTACACCTGTGCAAGACTGAAGGGGAGGAGCTGATACACCTGTGCAAGACTGAAGGGGAGGAGCCGATACACCTGTGCAAGACTGAAGGGGAGGAGCCGATACACCTGTGCAAGACTGAAGGGGAGGAGCCAGTACACCTGTGCAAGACTGAAGGGGAGGAGCCAGTACACCTGTGCAAGACTGAAGGGGAGGAGCCAGTACACCTGTGCAAGACTGGAGGGGAGGAGCCGCTAAACCTGTGCAAGACTGGAGGGGAGGAGCCGATACACCTGTGCAAGACTGAAGGGGAGGAGCCGATACACCTGTGCAAGACTGAAGGGGAGGAGCCAGTACACCTGTGCAAGACTGAAGGGGAGGAGCCAGTACACCTGTGCTAGACTGAAGGGGAGGAGCCGCTACACCTGTGCTAGACTGAAGGGGAGGTGCCCCTACACCTGTGCTAGACTGATGGGGAGGAGCCCCTACACCTGTGCTAGACTGAAGGGGAGGAGCCCCTACACCTGTGCTAGACTGAAGGGGAGGAGCCCCTACACCTGTGCTAGACTGAAGGGGAGGAGCCCCTACACCTGTGCTAGACTGAAGGGGAGGAGCCCCTACACCTGTGCTAGACTGAAGGGGAGGAGCCCCTACACCTGTGCTAGACTGAAGGGGAGGAGCCCCTACACCTGTGCTAGACTGAAGGGGAGGAGCCGATACACCTGTACAAGACTGAAGGGGAGGAGCTGTTACACCTGTGCTAGACTGAAGGGGAGCAGCTGGTACACCTGTGCAAGACTGAAGGGGGGGAGGCCTCCACCATCACTCCAATGATCAGACTGTACATTATAAAAAGGCTGCAGCAGGGGCTGATATGTGTCAAACATTTGTGAACACAGCCAAGAACTGCACAAGCACCAGGATTTACATGACCGCGTATTCTCTGAGCCGGCCTCTCAGTCCCGGAAATAGATGGTGACCCCGGAGGATGCCTGAACAAAGGAGGTGTGCCGTCCTTGCGGAGAGGAAAGCAGATGAAGTCTTGGTCAGAGGGAGCGCTGTGAACTCGGAGGGGTTTTAAATTCCTGAAAGTGTCAACTTCTCGGGTATTAAGTTCCTGGTGAGAATGTTCAGGAAGTTTGATATGAAGTATGAAATATTTATTGAATACACTATTTACACTTTTTTTTCACGTTGCCGTTGCGCAACAACCTTCTGTCCTGGGGGCTGCCTGCTGAGTTTTTCTCCATCATTCATCCCAGAATGCAAATGGTGGGATCTTGTGCGTTTACAGAAATGGCGCAGATGTCCGCCGGTTCAGTGGCAGGGGCCCTCGGTGACTCTGCACATGCGCACGGGGTCCTGCACTGTGCAGATATGCCGCAGACGGGGCTTCTGAGTCTCTTGTCTCCGCCCCCTGCCCACCTCCTAGTACCGCCCCTCTTAAAGAATACAAAAACAAAGTATCATTTTGTGGCGCTGAGTGATTTGTATAGAATTGTTACTGATAACAAGAAAAGCAGTAAAATAGATCCCCTGCAGCCAGCAACAATAGATCCCCTGGCAACAAAAGGCCCTCCCAGCAACAAACCCCCCAGCAGCAATAGACCCCCCCAGAACAGTCAGCAACAATAGACACCTCTCTCAACACTAGATCCTTCCCAACAACAATTGACCCCCCAGCAACAATAGACCCCTCCCTCAAAAATAGATCCCAGCAACAGCAGATCCCATCCCCGGTAACAATAGACCCTGCAAAAAAGTCAGCAACAATAGACCTCTCCCTCAACAATAGATCCCCTCCAGCAACAATAGACCTTCCAGCAGCCAGCAACAATAAACCCTTCCTAAGCAGTAAGATCCCTCCCAGCAACAACAGACCCCCAGCAATAAAATAACCAGCAGCAATAGACCCCAGAAAAGTCAGCAATAATAGATCCCTCCCTCAACAGTAGATCCCTCCCAGCAACAATTGACCCTCCAGCAGTCAACAACAATAGACCCCTTCCTCAACTCTCTCAGTAACAACTGACCCCGCAGCGATACTAGACCATCCAGCAGTAAGCAACCGTAGACCCCTCCCTCAATAATAGATCCCCCAGCAACAATTGACCCCTTCAGCAACAACAGACCTTCCAGCAGCCAGCAACAATAGACCTCTTCGGCAACAGTAGATCCCTCCGATCAACAATAGACCCCCAACAATAAAATAACCTTCCAGCAGCAATAGACCCCAGAGCAGTGAGAAACAATAGATTCCTGCCTCAACAGTAGATCCCTCCCAGCAACAATTGACCCCCCAGCAACAATTGATTTTCTAGCAGCCAGCAAAAATAGATCCCTCCCTCAACGGTAGATCCCTCCCAGCAACAATAGACCATCCAGCAGTCAGCAACAATAGACCCCTCCTTCAACAGTAGATCCCTCCTAACAAAACTAGACGCTACAGCTCTCAGCAACAATAAACCCCCAGCAGCAAAAGACCCTTCAGCATTCAGGAACACTAGACTCCTCCCTCAACAATAGATCCATCCCTTCCAGCAACCTGAGAGCCGCAGGACTACAAGTTCCATCATGCCTCTGCTAGTCATAGCTGTAACTGTCAGTTTTGTAATCTTTGCAATGCCTCATGGGAAATGTAGTTCCACAACAGCTAGAGAGCCGCAGGTTACCTACCCCTGTCCTACAGCAACAATAGACCCCTTCCTCAACAGTAGATCCCTTACAACAAAACTAGACCCTACAGCACTTAGCAACAACAGACCCCTTCATCAACAGTAGATCCATCTCAGCAACAATTGACCACCCACCCCCAGCAACAATAAAGGCCCCTGCAACAGCAGATCCCTGCAGTGACAAGAGATCCCAAGTAGCCAACATTAACAGACCCTTTATCACACCTCAGCAGCCCTCGCCATTACATACATCCAGTGTTGGAGGCGCCCCAACAGCGGCCCACCGCGTTCCCGCTGGAAAAAAAAAAGCCCTCCTCACTGGGATCTGCAGACCCCGGCAAAGATCCCCGCAGCATGTGCGCTGGAAGTGAATTCAAGATGGCGGAGCTGGAGAGGAGCAGTGTAAGGAGAACGTTCCCTGCAAGCAAGATAAAGCTGGAATCATGGAGTATGGGGTTTTTTTTCTTATTTTTTTGGGGGGTTTTTTTTTTTTTGTTTTACTGTTATTAACCACCTCCCACCCGGCCCATGTATATAAACGGCCAGACGGCGGCAGTGCAGGGGCGGGTTGGCGTTTATAAACGGCCTCCCCGCACCCTGCTTGTGCGCGCTCCCTGGGAGCTACAGCACCGTGATCCGGTGCCCGCTGTGTCCTCCGGACACAGTGGAACACCGATCGTCGTACGGGACCTCTGTGCGAGGTCCCGATCATGTGATCACTGATTGGCCAATCAGTGATCACATGAACAGTAGTAAACTGTCACTTGCTGACATCATTGCTTACTACGTGTGAAATCTGTGAATGATCACAGAGATCACATGGTACAGGGCTATTCACAACAGCCTTGTACCGTGTGACAAGCTGTGACCAATCACAGCTCACACAGTATTTCTCAATGGCTGCAGAAATGCAGACAGAGAGAAGGAGAAATGATTCCTCTTACAGCCTTTATGTGTGTAAAAGCAATCAGTGTAAAAAAAAAACTTCATCACCCCCCACAAGTAGTACAGTGTCACTATGGTGACCCCACACTGCTAGGGTGACAGTATGTGAAAAAAAAAAAGATGTTTAAAAATTATGATTTTTGGTAATAAGCGAATATCTTTTTAGTAAAAAAAAACGGAATAAATTTTGGCCAAGATTTATGATGAAATATTTATTTGCAAAATTTTATAAGAAAAACACTTTCAAAATTTTAGGATATTTTCATTTACATAGCAAAAAAAAATAAAAATCGCAGCGGTGAATAAATACCACCAAAATAAAGCTTTATCTGTCTCAAAAAAATGCTAAAAAATTCATATGGGTGCAGTGTTGCATGACCGCGCAATTGTCATTCAAAGTGTGACAGCGCTGAAAGCTGAAAATTGGCCTCGACAGGAAGGGGGTGAAAAGTGTCCGGACAGGAAGGGGGGGGGGGGGGGGGGAAGTGTCCGGACAGGAGGGGGGGGGGAAGTGTCCGGACAGGAAGGGGGGGGGGGGAAGTGTCCGGACAGGAAGGGGGGGAGGAAAGTGTCCGGACAGGAAGGGGGGGGAGGAAAGTGTCCGGACAGGAAGGGGGGGGAGGAAAGTGTCCGGACAGGAAGGGGGGGGAGGAAAGTGTCCGAACAGGAAGGGGGGGGAGGAAAGTGTCCGAACAGGAAGGGGGGGGAGGAAAGTGTCCGGACAGGAAGGGGGGGAGGAAAGTGTCCGGACAGGAAGGGGGGGAGGAAAGTGTCCGGACAGGAAGGGGGGGAGGAAAGTGTCCGGACAGGAAGGGGGGGGGGGGAAAGCGTCCGGACTGGAAGGGGGGGGAAAGCGTCCGGACTGGAAGGAGGGGAAAGCGTCCGGACTGGAAGGGGGGGAAAGCGTCCGGACTGGAAGGGGGGGGAAAGCGTCCGGACTGGAAGGGGGGGGAAAGCGTCCGGACTGGAAGGGGGGGGGGGGGGGGGGGGGGGGGTCCGGGGAAGGGGGGGGGGGGGGAAGGGTCCGGTACTGGAAGGGGGGGGGGAAGTGTCCGAACTGGAAGGGGGGGGAAGCGTCCGGACTGGAAGGGGGGGGAAGCGTCCGGACTGGAAGGGGGGGGGGAAGCGTCCGGACTGGAAGGGGGGGGGGGGGAAGCGTCCGGACTGGAAGGGGGGGAGGCGTCCGGACTGGAAGGGGGGGGGGGGGGAGGCGTCCGGGACTGGAAGGGGGGGGGGGGGGTGTCCGTGTGGTCCGGACTGGAAGGGGGGGGAGTGTCCGGACTGGAAGTGGTTAAAAAGGGGCAATATTTAAGATTTAAGAAAGGTTGTTTTTCATATTAAGGGTGGAGTTCCTCTCTGGTTTCGGAATTAAATCCGGATCCATCACAGAAGCCGCTTTCAGGTCACATGGATCGGAGGTGTCAGCGCATCCATGTAGAGATGAAGAGAGCGCAGATAAAGTGTGGCGCTGCACCCAGGAATGGACACTCCGTATCGGAAGAGAACTCCACTTTGAATCGCTCTTCACTCCACAGTTCCCCTTTAAACCCGTCACCCCGGCGGCTGCAACGTTAAGCAGACGCCATTCCCAGCCTCCAGCGTTTTCCAGCCGTCGCCGCGTTCGTCAGATGAAGTCTCACAATGGCCATTAAATCACGGGTTACTTTTAATTAAAGTTTAGCACACCCTGTAACCTTCCAATTCACTGGTCTGGATCCGGGTAATTAAACGCCGTGTCATTTCGTTAAAAAGGTGCACCTTCCTAACAAAGAACGCCACTCGGAAATGAGCTCGCGCTCGCGAAGGGCAACGGCCGCCGTGGTATGTTCTGCGTGCGTGACGGCTCAAACATTTGCGTCTGAGCGGGACGCGCCTGTCCTAAACAGCGAATTTGGAGTCTAGAGTCGAAAACGTAAAAAAAGGATTAGGTTTAGGGATTTCACCAAAATGAAGATTCACAGAAAATGACGGATTTCACCACCGGAGGAAACTTTGGATTTCACGCAATTAAATATTCAAAATGTCGGGAAACCCAGAATAAAATATTCCAGATATGGCTTCAATGTATCAATAAAAAGGATTATTATTATACAGGATTTATATATTATTATTATTATACAGGATTTATATATTATTATTATTATACAGGATTTATATATTATTATTATTATACAGGAT